AAAAACCAGCCGGGGCACACACAGTACAAAAGGGCAGGCAGTCATGTAAAGCAAACAGAAGAAGAAGAAGAAGAAGAAGAAGATGTACAGCAACAAAGAAGAAGCAACCGTTGGACGCCAGGTCACCAATGGCCATACTCGCCAGCCGTGAGTTCTTCGCCCATGGCCATGGCCGTGGCAGTGGCGGTGATAGATGCTGTAAGCACAACAACAACAAAAAAAACAGAGCAGTGTGTGTACGCCACCCCAATGTAAGCATTCGGCTAGCGAAAACCCTGTAAGAGGACAACGGCTCAGACGCTGGTTCGTGTTGAGGGCAGCGTGAGGTATAGCAAGAAGAAGAAGAAGAGGGTATGCGAAAATAGCTTGGAATGCGCGCTCTTTGCTATTAGCTAAAATAACAAAACTAAAAAAAAACTTTTTCTGCTAGCAAACACGCGCCCCAAACACCATCAAGCTATAAACGGGGAAGCAGCCACTCGTTACACAGCTCAATGGCTCACTCACCCACTACCCTAGACAGAGCACGACAGCCACCGGTGACTACCCGTAACCCAGGCGGAAGCACGGCCGCCACTCAACTAGACATGCTTGAACAAATAAATATATGTATGTGTATATTCGGCTCGCTTGCGCAAAAACATTCCCCATTTCCTCAACTTCTTAAATTAATCAGCGCTCCAGCGTGTCTGCAAAATATCTGCTAATTTTTTAAATGCAATTTAACAGCGAAATTTGTTCAGTGTAAATTTGTTGCACATTAACAAGGCTTACAAGTCAGTCGCTATCTAATTCGCCGCGCCGAAAGGAAGAGTGCTTTTAAGCTACTTGCAGTTAATATTTGTTGCGGCTGAGTACGACATTTTAGTTTTGCTAACAGGTAAACTCAAAAGTAAAATATAGTATTATATTTACATTTACATTTATTTATACAACTATTCTTATAAAATTTTGGAACTTTTTTTGAAATTTTTCTCTCCGAAAAATATTTTTTTTTTAATTTTAAAATTTTTACACAATATTTTTGCTTTAAAGCTTGTATAACAAGTTTTGAATTATATTTAAATCAACTAGTTTATAACTGGTTACAAAGTAACTATTTTTGTAACTAGTCCGATTCCAGTTGCTTCTGGTCCCAGTTATTATTTTAAAGAAAAACGTTAAAAAACAGCGTATAACACATTTGTGAACTGCAGATATTTCTAGAGCACATTTGCCTAGCTGAAGCAGCGCTAAAGACTTTGTGCGTTGCTTATCTCTTAGCATTATTCTTTATTTCTTCCATTTCTTTATATTTGTTTAAAAGCATTTTGCGTACAACATTTTATTTAAACGGCAATTTCGATGTACACTCATGTGCATTTCGTTTACGTTCGAGTAGAGGCACTAAGTACGGCTGCTGCTGCTGTTGCTAACTATGCCTGTACATTGCCTGAATGAATTGCTGGCTAAGTGCTGTGTAACTGCAGTGCTTTGTATATATAAACTCAAAACAGCTGTGCGTGTGCATGTTTCTTTGTAAGCTTAATGCATGTATTTTTGTGCAGTTGTGGGTGTATAGTTGGTGCACGCTGCTTGCTGTGGCGTTTTTATGAATGAACGAATGAAATAATCATAATATGGTGTCGCTGGCAAATTATAAAATATATTCGTACACATATGTATGTATTTTGATATTTGCACGCGGTGGTACTTATTTCATTCAAAGCAATATTACAAATTTATTTTTTACTTAAATTTTTTTTTTTTTTGCGTTTGCGGTTTTACCAACAGCGCTGATGCATAAAGGGATGTACTCTACAGACTATACATATGTTTTGCATGTATGTAAGTATGTACATCATTGAGTAAAGTTATTCCTAGAATGTGATAGGCTCTTTCATCTCTGAAGATGACTTGAGATTTAGCTTGAAGTAAATCTCTATTGCTTGATTTAAATGCATTCAGATGGGACTAGTTGTGGAAATTTATTGAGTGAAGTGTAGATTAACAAGAAAAAAATATTAAATAGAAAAAAAAAATTTTTTTGTAACTCATATTCCATGAAGTAATGTAATAAATTTTTTTTGAGAAAAAAAAATATTATATTAGATATTAGATGAAACCGATTACACCAGTAAATTAATATGCCAGATTGCTTACCCATTATAATTAAATAAACTCATATATATTATATTTAAATGTATAACGTTTGGCCTAAAAAAGCATTAACCAATTTTTATTAAAAACTACTGATTAGTAGCAATTGGAAAATAAAAATTATTGCATGCATATGTTGTTTTCAAAAACAGCTGCAGCTTACGGCCTATTTGCCCTCAATACGTCAATTTTTATTTTATTTCGAATGGAGTCATTAAAAAAAACAAGCACGTATTATTTAACAAAAATAATAGTCTGAAATAGTGATATTTTTAAGAGAAAAAAAACTCAAAATTTTTTGAATCAATATTTAAAAAAAATCATTTGCTGGCAATAGTGAACAGAATTGAGTGTAAAAAATAAATATTATGAACCTTTTTTCGCAAAGTTTTATTTGTTATTAACCTTCAAAGGTTAACCATTTTATCGATATTTATTATTGGTTTTTATAATCTTAATTTGCTATACTTTTTGGCTTTAACAGTTTGTATCGCCATACGGAAGATAATAATTCTGGAAGCATAAATAGATTATTTTTAGTGAAAATTTGAGGTAATTTTTTGCAAATAAAAAAAACTGGAGAAAGTCAGTAATTAAAAGGAAAACAATTATTAATAATAAATCTTTTTTTTTAAGACATTTGCTCGTTCTGAAGCAAGTGAAAAAAATTATAAATATTTTCATGCTTTTCAAGATATTTTTGTAGGAATTTCTTTCGTACATTACATTTAAAACCGTAATATTTTTTTTAAATAGAAATATTAAAAAAAAGAATTACGACTTTCATTCCCATTACTTAAAAAATACTCTTAACATCCTTCAAAAACCTTAGGAGGGAGAAGAAACTTTTTTTAATTTCTTTAAGGCATTGTTAAGTTGAAAATTTTTACCCTTCGGTGAAGTAATAACTTTTCATCACTAGTTTAATACGTTTCAAAAAATGTGTATTTTACGTAAAATGCATTTCGTAATTATAAAAAATTTTCTTTTAAATTTGCTTTAAAGTTGAATTATTGCTTAACTTTATTTTTGAACAAATAAAAAAAATAAATAACTTGTTATTTTTTAATGGTTCTTTTAAAATATTTTTTTTTTTAAATCATATTCACCAGCTAATATTCACTATAGTTAAAAAAAATAAAAAAAAAACTTATTTCAGTTTTTTAAAAAGCCAATATTCATATAATAATACTATTGTAGATGCATTTTCAAATAATCAAAAAAATTTAAAGCATCATTTTTTTAGTATATTTTGCCCCTAAAATATTTATGTTATTTTTATTTCTTCTAATAACATTTTTAATTTAAAGAATAGTTAATTTTTTTTAATTTTTTTAGTTTATTCTATTAAAAGTTTTTTGCAATTTTTTAAATTGCATTAATTTCTTCCTGAATAAATTTCATCTTTCTTTTTAGATTTTTTTTTGTAAATTTAAGTTCCAATTTCAAAGAAAATTAAAAATTTTAAAATTAAAAAAAATATGTTTTTTGCCATTAAATATTGCTTTGTTTTATATACATTTAGATTTAGAAATAAAATTATGTGTTCGAGAAAAAATAATTGTAGTAATTTTCTCCTCCAGTGTGTGAAAAAAATTTCATATTTTTGTAACTTTTTTTGTATAAATCATTTTTTTTTTTTGAGAAAAATTCTTTTACTTTTATTAAGCCTAAAAAATTTCTTTATTTTGTTTAATATTATTTTAAGGAATTTTCTTCAATTCTATTTATTACGCTTAAAAATTTTTCGTTTTATCTTTTTATTGGTTTTATTATTGAGATATTTATTTTATAAAAAGAATTCTAAAAATTTTACAAATATTTATTGCACTTTATAAAATATTTTCTTATTTTTTTATATTCATTTTCGTAGCATTTATTATTTTGATATATTTTATTATTAATTACACTTTGAAAATAAAAATTATTTTCCTTTAATTTTTTTCTCAAAAATTATTAAGTGATAATAAAATTATTAAAAAAAAAAATGTATGCTCTTAAAAAAAATTTTTTGGAAAGACATATATTTGCGTATTTAAAAAAATACTATATTTTAAAAAATATTTTTTTTCCTTAAAAGTCGTTGTGGAAAACGTTCTCTAGTAAGTGAGAATATGTAAAGTGTGAGTACAAAGTTAAAAAAAAATTGTATTGAAAAATGAAAAAATTTAAAGATGCTTAAATTAGCGAAATCTAATCAAAACAATTTCCATATTTGTTTTTAATTAAAATTAAAAATAAATTTTTTTTTCAAATGTAACAAGCCAATTTATTTTGTGAGTAAAATAATTTTTAAAGAAATTTAATTCGATTTTTCGATTAATTAATTCATTATTTCTCAAAATTTATTTTTTTTTTTAATTTTGTTGCATAATTAAAATTTTCTTCTAATAACATTTTTTAATTAAAAAAAAAATTATTTACATGTAATTATTATTTAATTTTTTTAGTTAATTCTGTTAAACGATTTTATAATTATTTAAGTTGCTGTAATGTCTCCTCGAATAAATTTCATTTCTTCTAGTTAGACTTATTTTTTTCAAATTTGAGTTAAAATATCGAAGAAAATTAAAAATTTTAAAAGTAAAAAGCAAAATCGTAAGAAACATAAAACATCACTGAATAGATTTTCAGAAGCTCTTAGAGGTCGATGGAGGGTTATTTTTTTTCTTTTTTAGATTTTTTAAAAATTAACGCCATGCTAGAGTGATGAACTTATTATATTTTTTTATTTTAAAAAAAATTATTATATATATTTAATATATAATTAAATACTCTTAACACTTCTTCGCTATTTTCTACTTTCTTTCACTTTTGGACATTTTAAATATATATTTTTATTTTGAAAACTCATAACTCACCTTTTTCACTTGCTGATTTGAATTTTCTCGCACCCAACTTGTATGTGTGCTTTTTCGCGCAAACAAAAAACCGCACACAATCAAGTTTGCTCAATGAGTTTTTAATAAATTTATTGCAAATTTTCTTTTTCTTTGCAAAAGCAAGTTACTTCATTTACACTTTCCAGGCAGATTGCGCAAAAAACGTTTTGAAAATCGGGCACACTATTAATATTTTCAGCACTTAGTTTGTCTTAAACACGTAGCTATTTTTTTAAAAAGCAAAAAAATTATTACAAACTTCTCACTCAGTTCAACAGAACTTAATCCATATCCATTGACTGAGGATTGGTTAGTCCTTCGGCAGTTTTTCGAAAACACTGGTTATCACTTGCAAAAACACAACACTTGTGATTTAATTGCTTTGCCGGAATTTTCGTTTTTAAACGGAAAGAAATTTTTTTAATTATTCTCGAACGTTTTTTTTTTATTTTTTATTAATTATTTAGCGCAATTTATATTATTTTTTTCTCCAAATTTAATTGCCCGAAAAGTGTTTTCACTTGGCGTTCTTAGTTATTTTGCAATAAATTTTCGAAATTTTAAATGAATTTCACAAAATTCTCAATTTTTTTTTACTTTCTCGTTGCTTAGTTTTTAATTAGCTGCTTTTGCTAATGAAATCTATTTGTTTGCAGCAATTTTGTAGAAATCATATACATATGCTGTAGATAGGTTATTTTTTTAAATAAGCAATAACTGAAAAAATTGCTAGTTGCTAGTTGCGACGACCAGCGCTGTGGGCTGTTGGATGTTGTTGACACCACCGCTTCATTTAATTCAAAGAGACTCGGAGTCTCCGCGTCTCTACGCTTATTTATATAGCCTCCGTAGCGCGGCGGCTTGTAAAAAAGCGACAGACATATACCAATTTCACACACATACACATAGAAAAGCCAAACGTCGAACGTTGCGCGCGCTTTGAAACGAGTGAGAAGACCCAACAACAGTAAAAGCAGCAATTGACGACCGCGTCGCGTCGCGATGATAGCTAACTCTAAGAACGGCAGCAAGCAGCGGCAACGGCAGCGTCGAAGATGGTCACTAGTGGTGCTGGTGCTGTAAAGCACCGCACGGATGATGCGATGATGACGATGATGAATTTGGCTCGTAAGCAATCATCAGCAAGAGCAGCTGTTAGGTAGAAAATAAGCGCAGCGGAGCGCCGTACAAATGTGCGAGTCACGCGCGTGTTCGAACCGCTTCAAACAAGCGCTAGAGTTTGTGCGAGCATGAACGCACTCAGAGAGAATAAATAAAATACATGCTAACGAACATCAAACCAAAAGCACAGAAGAAGCGTCAAACCACATCAAACCTTAGCTAGTGGTGGTGGCGCGCGCTTGAATGTTTAAGCCGCGCGGTTGCAGTGCTGCCGCAGTGACAGCTGTTGGCAGGCCGTCTATAGAAGTAACTCTTAGTTTGTATGGCGTTGAGAAGAAACGCAAATGCAATTGGGTGCGTATGGGGCTGAGCGTTGGGTGACGCGGCATAACGATGGTGTTAGCAAATTTATTAAATGGCGCGTAAAATTAGCGCTTAAAATAAATTTAAAAAAAATTAAGAAAATTAAAGCACATGTAATTTTTTATAAAAAAAAATTAATAAATAAAAGCAATAATTAAAATTTTATTGCGAAAAAAAAACCATTGCGGCTCACGCACAGCTTTGAACAAAGACAATACTTTACAAGTGTCTCTTCATGGCGCTATCAGCAGCCGCACCGACAACGACGACGCACGCGCCCCCAACAGCATCACACAGCCAACAATAGCAGTAGCAGCAGCAGCAGCAATGACGCGCGCTTATCGGAGAGAGCGCAACAATAGTTGGTGAGCACCAAACAATAACCGGCACACTTCGGCTCCAACTTATTCGCTCGTCGTCTGGCCGTGACGCTACAACAAACGCTAATGCTTCAGCGCTGCTGCCAGACGAACATTGTTTGATGGTCATGAACAAGCCAAAATGAAATGAGCCGGCTTTGTTGATGGTCGACAACTTTGGTTGGTTGGTTAGTTGGTAGACTGGCGCGCATTAATTTTCTGCTGTTGCAACACTTCGTCTTCAAAGCTCGACACCAGCTGCGCCATGTGTGCACGATGGTCCGAGACTGTGTGCTGACCGTTTGTGCTTGCTGGTTGTGTGCGAAGCTCCATTCGCTGCGCTGTTACTTGCTGTCTTCAGCGCTGCTTTGTGGTTCATTTTCAAGTTCGTGGTCACGGACGACGCGACAACGTCAGCGCCGACGACGCTGGTGCTGCCTTTGTGGTTTGAATGTGTGACTTTGAGATCCGAATTTGGCTTTGATTATGATGATGATGATGATGATAATGATAATGATGATGGTCGCCAATGTAATTGTTGTTGCGTTAGGTGTTGGTGTTGGCGGTCGTGCAGACAATAACAGAAAAAAATTCGCAACATTAAACAAAAAGCAACTACAACAACGAAAATATATAATAAAACAGAACTGAAAGAAAATCACATGTTTTTTTGTGCATTGGAAACGACAGACGAGTAAAAAACAAGCAAAAGCTGAGGCTTTACAGCGGCGAAAAGAAAAGAAAAACTGAAAAGAAAAAAAATCTTGTACACGATGGTGAGGTTAGCTTGTAAATGAAAGAAGTGGAAGCAGAAGAAGAAGAAGTGGTATTAGTAGTAAGAAACGCGCTTAAGCACAAGCACAAGACGCAACAGCTCCCCAAAAGCCAACCCATGACAAGTTGTACATACCAACAAGAGCTCGCTGCGAAAAGAGTAATAAAATCGGAGTTTGCAGAAGACCGCAAGTACACAAGAAGATCACCATACGACGGACCAACAAACAGATCAACAAACCAACAGACCAAGCGACCGACTTAGACCGAAGCAGACTTAACGAGCCCGACGATGTGAAGAAGAAAAGTAGACACTTGAAGAAGACATGACTTAAATCTAAGCTGCTTCTTCCTTCACAATTTCGCAAAAACAATAAAATAGTAGAAGAGAAAAAAGAAGTCAACGCACATATGAGTAGTTGAACATACATACACGTATATATATATATATATATATATATATATATATATTGTAGCTACTATGTAAGTAAGTATGTATGTATGTAGATATGTTTAGTAAGCTGGCGGTAAGGCGGCGAGCTTAGTTGGTACTGCTACGGCGCGATTTTTGCACAGATCTCGTGCGGAGGCAAGACCATCAGCGTCCATCATCATCAACATACATGTTGAATAGTGTGCATATATAACTATATATGTATGTGTATAAGTAATACTGTGTATAACCACCAAATATTCTAGTATAAAACTATGTTCTGGAAAATTTGGTCCAGTCCCCCAACTAGGACAAACATGGCGGGTTAAACGTTAAAAATATTACCGAGAAACTGAAACCTTTGGCCAATGGTAAATGCCTCCTACTCCTTACCCTGCAGGGAAGAATGGGCGGAAGTCGGGTCTATAGGAAAGTGGGATTTAAATTCAAGGCAGGTATAGGAGCAGGGTTCTTCGGTGGCCAACACAATAACCAAGGTAGCTTTAAGCTCAAGGACAAGAACTCTTTTGCCCAAGCAGAGATTATGAGCATTAGATAAGCTGCCAAATGGACAAACGCATTAACAGGAAGATCTATCTATAAGGTTTTTGGTGGACAATCAACCTGCCATTAAGTGTGTCAATGCAAAGCCAAAATGCGTAGAACATGCAAAAGGCAACTCACAGATTATCAAGAGAAAACACAATGGCTTCCTCGTCATAAGCTGATGTTGTAACCATCAACTGCTTCAAACCTTTCAGCAGCTTTAACTGTTGCCTAAAGTAGTGAACCATGGGAGAACACTCAAGCAGACCAAAATGGTGTTAACTTTAATCAAACGAGAGCTCAGTATTCTTGTGGGCGTAATGACAGACATCTCTTCCTGAGATATCATCTCCACATGCTAGGTAAAGTGGTATCGGCTATACGTAGAGCGCGCGCAGTAGACGATGAAACGCCACTGGAGCGTCCGGCCTTTTACCAATTTAGAGGACACACCTTTCTTGGTGACCCAAATCCAGTCTTACAGAGGTAGCCTGGAAGAAATTAAAACAGTTCATTAAAGCAAGCGAAATGTTCGAAGCGAGGTATGTTGGGAGGGGTTACTGTCGCTTGTGTTCAGATTCTCATCCTCCCCTTTCAGTCAACCAACCACCAACCAAGCATAAAAAAAAAAATAAATAAAAATAAATCATATAATTTTCAGTCTTACGATTTCAAAAAATTTTTTATAATTTAATAATAATCTTTATTTCTTTATTTCTTAAAAAAAATCTTTTGGAAATAAAAAGAAATTACTAAATTAAATTAAAATATTAAATTAATTATTCAATATAAATTCAATGAACCTTAACTGAAGCATGCAAGTACGCTTATTCCAGTCGCAAAAGCTAAGTGGTTAGTACTGTCTACTGCAATTCGGAAGGTCAGGGGTCGCATCCTACCACAATCTGAAAGATTGGCGCTCCCAGGCAGGACATGTCAAGTCCTCCGAGTGCATTTCTGACATGAAGAAAAGCTTCTCAAAAAATTCCATCAGCCTTACGTTTACTAAGCGCCAATTATATAAATATATATTTATATAAATATATATATACTTATTCAAAAATGCTAAAAAAATGCTGTACAACACTGTAAAAATAGCAGCAGCAGCAACAACAACGACATCAAAACAGTCTTAGTTACTGTGGGCTCCATGTGCTTTTGTGCCATCGCATTATTTAGCATATATTACGCTGCCTCAGGCAGAGAATATCCCTACCTATAATATATTATCTTATATGTATGTGTTCATATGTATTAACGTATGTATTTACTAAACTGTTGCAACACAATGCAGCGCGTCTTTTGGCATTGCATTTCCAAGCAAAAAAAAAAATAATTAATAAATAAATAAAATGAAGTGAATATTAGTAATTCATATGCATATATGTATGTATATATATGCGTATGCACGTTTTTATGTCTTATGTGTCAGTATGTTATTTACCCACAAACTACATGTGTATATATATATTCGTATATAGCGCTGTTGAACAGGTGTCGTCAACGTCGCAGTCGTTTTTGAATACTTTTAGTTATTGTTACTCTTCCTCTTCTTGAGCTTGTTCTTCTTCATAGTCTTAGTCACGCGTCCAAGAATTGTCATTTTGTACTTAGTAGTAATTATTATCATCATCATATTGATGATATGGCAATTGACACTTGTGTGGCCCTTTAAACAATCTGCATTACTCACATACTTGTCTAGAACATACATATATACATTTGTACATACATATGTACTATAGAAATTGCATTGATATGCTTAAATGAAAAGGGTTTACTCCCAGCCGCAAAATACTTAAGAATACTAGCGGAATTTGCATATACACAGACCCACCTACATACATACATATATGCATGTATTGTATATTAAGCAATGCAAATGATGCAATTGATTGGCTGCATTTGCATATATGTATATATATCCGTGCGAAATTACAGTTAATGAATGAGTGCACATGCATATTCATTCATATCTTGGAAATGTGAAAGAAATGTGATTTTTCCTTTTCAATTTCAATGAAAGTGTTAAAGTTTTATTTTTCTAAGCGTTAATTATGACTGTTAGTGGCAAATGAGTCCAACATTCTTAAGTATGACGTCCATAAAAAATTTAACTAATAACGCTGTGCTCGAATTTGGATTTTTTTTCGATAAATCGGGTGTTTTTCAAAGTTAGCTCCCATTTTCAG